AGAATTAGCTGTAAGTTGGAATAAAGACTGATGTCCGAGACCGGACAAATAACTTAATAAACTACAGCAGACAGACAGTTGATGATAACTTTCGGACTTTTAGACTAACTTAATGATAAGATGGTGTCCCATTTTATACATTTATGAACAGGATATGTAGGTGAGATTATTATGACACCACCACATAACTTTAAGGTGAATTTACTATCTTTAAGATGAATTTAAGAATGACATCATCTTTTTAAAGATGAAGTTGTCGATTATATCATCACACAACTTCAGATTCAACAGTCCCTAAACGTTAGCCTATTTGGAATATTGCCCAACAGGTTATTCGAGCAACAACATTTATGAGGAGCACTTAAGAATGAACTTTATACATCCACTCTACATTATGGTCAATACAGACTAAAATATTACAAAGCATATAGTAAAAACAACATAACAGTATTCAATATTGTTTTATAGGTAAATCAATATATTAGGCATAACACACCCCTCTAAATTAACTGTCGTATCTACACTCTTCAGCAAGAATGTTATCTTTGTCACGAATAGGCCTAGGTCTAATTTCAATATCATACTCTTGTAGAGACAAACTCCAACGAAGAACCATTTGGTTCTTGTTCTTCATTTTATTTTTGAACGTCAAAGGATTGCTATCGGTATGCAGCACAATTGCGTGTCGAGTTCCACACAAATATACATTAAAATGATTCAAAGTTAGCATTAATGGTAAATATTCCTCTTCAATTGCGGCGTAATTTAATTAATGTTTACCAAATTTCTTAGGAAAATAGCAAAGCGGATATAATGTACGCCATATCTCCAATCTGCATTAAAACTGCCACCTGCCCCTATATCTCTCGCATCAACATACAAATGAAATTGTTTCTCACAAAGTCTGGAGTCATGAGGACAGGGGAACAATTAAGTATTGCTTTCATTTTATGGAAAGCAATCTTACAATTCTCGCACCATAGAAATTTAGCCTTCAAAGTTTCGAAAGTGCAGTGAGGGGTTGTGCAATCGTTGGAAAAGTTCTTACAAAATAGCCAATCATCCTGTCATTGTTTTACTTCAAATATCCATCCAGTGCAAAAATTATTAATGGGGCTTACCTGGTTTGCGTCCCAAGTCTGTGATTTTACTGCGAATTCATCACCATCACATCACCTTTATAGTCAAAATGAAGCGCCAACAAATTTCTGATCTCTTATCAGCAATTTTCGGCATACTAGAGATATATATTTATATTATGTGTGATGTACCATAGTAAATTAACTTTAAAACATTATCTTTGATGTATTTACTTTACTTTACGAAGGGACCCTTAAGGCCTGTTTATACTTCAACGATAACTATAAAAAAAAAAAAAAAGCAAAAAAAACAATTGTTCATATAGAAAATTAAAAAAATAAGAGAAGTTTTTACACTAGAACGATTCAATAATGATTTATCAGTTACCGTAACGTGTGCGATAACAACATATTTTGACAAATCAAATCAGATGACGTCATAATCATGGGAAAACATTAAAATCGTCGTAGTAGCAACGATTTTATCGTTTGTCCATGGTTATGACGTCATCTGATTTAATTTGTTAAAATGATTTATTATTGCATACACGATAAATCGTTATAGAATAGTCCTAGTGTAAAAACTTCTCTTATTTCTTTTGTTTTCTATATGAACAATAGCTTTTTAGCATTTTTATCGTTATCGTTGAAGTGTAAACAGGCCTTTAGGGGCGAAGAAAGTCATTGATCGAGTTCCAGTCCACATATCAAGCACTCTGAGCATCTTACATTAGGTGGATGTGCGCTATATAAAAATACATTATAATTATTATTATTATTATTATTATTATTATTATTATTATTATTATTATTATTATTATTATTATTATCATTATTATTATCATCATCATCATCATCATTATCATCATTATCATCATCATCATCATCATCATTATCATCATTAATATTATCATTCATATTATTATTGTTATTATTATTACTATTATTATTATTATTATTATTATTATTATTATTATTATGACTTTACCTACTTAAATCCGCGAGTCCAGATACACCTCAGCCCCACCATGGTTGGGGCTGAAAAAAGAAGCGCCAACAAATTTCTCACATTCTTTTATCTAGAATTTGTGGCAATCATAACGATCTTAATAATCTGTGTGATGTACCATAGAAAATAAAACTTCAAAACGTCTTTTATGTGTTTAGGATACTTTACTTTATCTATTTAAAGCTGTGAGTCCACACCCATCTGAGCCCCACCATGGTTGGGGCTGAGGTGCGAAGAATAACACTCTTATAGAGAAATTTATCATCATCACATCACCATAATAGTCAAAATGAAGTGCTAAAAAATTTCTCATTTCCTTTTATCAGCGATTTTCAGCAACAGAAAAATAAAACTATAAAACATCATTGTCTTTTATGTCTTTACTTTACCTACCTAAAGCCGTGAGTCCACACTCATCTCAGCTCCATTATGGTCGGGGCTGAGGCGCGAAATTTGGGTAAATGGTACCTCTAGCTGGCCGAAAATGACACTCTTATAGTAAAGTGTCTTGCCTGAAGACAACAAGCGATCAGCTAATTTTTGATAATTTCCTTTATTCAAGTTTAATGTGAAATCCTAATGCTAGGGCCTAAATATTAATATGTAGACTTACATGTACTTCCTTACCTTCTATACATCATGGCTATATAAACTAGAACCGAATTTCATAAATTAATTGTTCTCGCTTACCAAAAACTGTTGGAGCGCCCTCTAGCACCGCATTATTCTAGCATGCACAATAGTATTTCGATGTTCATTGGATACCTCGGTAAGTATACAGTATTCCTCACTTGCAGAGGCCAACTTTATAAACTTAGTAATTATTATGCTGAATAAGAATAATTTTGTCAATGGGTGAATATTATACCGTATTTCTATGAACAGGTGTATTAAACTTCCTATAAAAAGAAAAAAAAAATGCCACCCATGGGAATTCATGTATTTTATTATTTTTTTTTTTCAAATGGGTTTCATGTATTTTTTATTCGCGATTTTTTTTTTCAAATGGGTTTCAGTCCTTTCAATTAATAATAATAATTTGTATATCAAAATACTGTACATTTACCTAAAATGCTATTTTCTTTTTATTCATTCTTTCATCATTTTTTGTTCACACACTGCTGTGTGAAGCCTCCGCAGGCATTTTTTTGTCACTATTGCGGCTTTTGCCCAGTTTTTTATTCCCATGATTTTTGTGATATCATCCCTCGATTTTTTTGTATTTCTTTTCCCCTTATGTTTTTTTTAATTGGTTGTAGATTCTTTAGCTTGCTCGATGCTAGAGCATTCAAAAATCGTAAATAATATGTCAAAGAAACATCAATAATAAAAATATTAACCATTAAGGTTTGTGAGTCCCTCTAAAATATCCACATTGATAGGACTCGTACTTAGACTGTGGTTTCGGCAAATTTCAACTTATTTATGGCAGAGGCATTAACAATAAGGTACGGTAGACATTCCAATTATATACTGTAGGTAATGAGAGAAAATATAGAAGATGCTCAGTTCAACAGTGAATTTTTAAAGTATTCATGGTCCCTGGTCGAAGAATTCAAAGGTGGACGCGTTCGGTTGTCTACTAATGCAATATTGCGATGATGGTTGATACGCCATGGACAGACAGTTCCAGTCTTTAGAACTCCCTCTTAATTTTTGCTTGAAAGGAATGGTGTGAAAGTCGGCCCACTAAAATATGACCATAGAGCAAAGAAACCGTTTCTTTGGTCTATAATGTCTAAACGATGTCCAAGTTTATCGAACTGATTATCATAATTACAGTATTATGTTACTTGCAATGACTCAAATGTATTACAGATTAGAGTTAGTACTGCCAAACGCAACAGTACTGTGCTATTTTAAAACTTAAAAAATTTCGACAATACTTTTATTACATTGAACATGATAACAAGGAATATAGATATAACTATAGTAATTTACATATTTGTAGAAAATTTTATTCCGTCTATACTAATATAGAAAATCTAAAATTGTACATCAAAATTGTTTATTCATAAGCAAACTATAAGATTAAATATGGATTCCTTGAGCCAATAGTCAATTCATCATAGAAAAATTCATTGTTACTTAGGAAAAGCGTCACGTGGCATACACAGACGTACTCATCAGAAGAAAAGTTTGGAATATTGTACGAAAGTAAAACTTACTAGTGAGAAAACTCTAACTGGTCAAGTAGGCCTAACCCATTTTTGATACTAAGGTAATAACATCAATATTTTCAAAAGATAATCAACTTTTTACACGGTGTATTTTTATGCAAAATTTTTGGATTCGATCCGTTAAGCTTCTGCAAATTAACATTATCGGATATTTATTATCTACTCCAGTTACGAAGTTCCTTAAACAAAATAATGCCGTACACTTAACTATCAAGAAACACAAAATTTACAAGAATAAAGAGGATATCATACACATACCGCTACATAAAAATATATATCACAACTTAGAAAAAGTTTAGATTCCGCTGATAGAAACTTGAACCACTTACTATTGATTAGTGGGTGCTTTACAACAGAATATTTTCAACCAAATTACACGAACAGTAGGAAATTTTTATGAAAGCTTAGATGCATCCAAATTAATTTACCTATTGTATTGATTTCGATACAAGCACTCATTTAAAAAAATATTTTCTAAGGCTATTTCTGGTGTTCTATAATTTATTTACAAAAAAATAAAGAATAAAGTAATAAATCAAGTTTATCTTTTTATCATTACTATTTGAGGGCGACTGCTGTTATTATTTTAAAGTGTATTTTTAATTGCAGCAGTTATTGTGTGCAATGCTGTGCCATAACTTTTTGCACCTAAACTCACCACCTCCTATTAGGATTATCAGGGGGAAAAAAGTGATGTGGAATGATCTTAGAATGTGAAACTAAATCCAGTACTTCTGTCCTTCTCCAGGACTGTCAAGTGGTATTTTCTCTGGCGCTGACGGGCGCATTGCAGCTGCTGTGGGTTGGATGGGCCTTCCGCCACCAACAGCACCGCTGCCGTTTCCAACGCCTCCATCCCTGTTTAATCTACCTCTGCCTTGATTTTTGTCCTTGCCAGTGCACATACATTCTATTAAGAAAATCAATCCAGCTGCAAGGGATCCGATTATCAAAAGCAGGTAAACCCCCAGTAGATCGACACTAGTAAGAGAGTAAATGCCTTGTTTCTCCCATGTTGTTAAATTACCACATTTACTATCCCACAAACTCAATGGTTAACCGATCATTCTGTCTCTTATACACATCTAGATGTGTATAAGAGACAGCACCAATTCCACCTCGTATTCAAAGTTAATGCCCTTCACAACTCGAGCGATCTCCTCTAAAAGATCCATGATGTAGCCTCTAAAACGTGCGTTTCCACGGTAGCGATCTGCATTATCTCTGTACATCAAGAACGGAGCTTGCTGTAAAATAAAACCAAATACATGCAACAGTAGCCTATAAAGACATTTTGTTATAACGTTCAACACAGCAAGCACAATTCCATTTACAGGAGGCCAATATGAGGAATTATCTGCGTTGCTAAGTAAAAGCTAAATTGTCATCAACAATCGTACAATTAGTCAAACTTACATATTGAGAATAATCCATCTGAAGTATTTCAATATATTAAATTATTTATACTGTAAGCATAATGGCTAAAAAAAACATTTAGGCAAAGGTTTAAACTAGGGAACAGTTCACTGTTCCCTGTTTAAACTCAATATTAATTTTACCATGCTTCGCTTTGACAACCGTATACATTAGCAAATACACTAGAAACACAAGATAGAACTTTCGCATAGCAAAAGTGAACCGGATATACGTCATATCTTTTTTCCAATATTTTGCAATTTTACGCAGTTTATCCTGGCGTACGCGGTGCCTCATGTAATGGGGCGCCGCGTACGACTGGATATAAACAAACTTACGTTAGTACACATTAAACACAATGCAATTCGGTGATACCGTTTTTTTACCCCATGCAGAGCCGTCCTTCACTTACCAATATGGACACAACTTTCAGCCGTCTCTCAAGTCCGAGTACGTACTTGGTTACGTTCAGACGACCTTCACTCTTCCATTCAATGTCGTAACGAGATTCCCAATGAGCCGGATTCTGGGACCACTCGCCACGCTGAAAGCAAATTAAAACAAATTATACAAAGAACGCTCTTGTGACAATAAAAAACATAAGATGAAACAGGTAGAAATATTATTATAAATTAAATTAAATAAATTAAATTACAACATGATGTTCCGTCACCTTCCATTTACATGCATCGTAATTTTTTAAGCTGCGGCGCCGCGAGCATCTCCATATCATGGTCGACCTCCTAATGACTCCATTAGTAGGAATGAACTGTTATAATGTTAAATTAAAAACATGATAAAACGCCAACGAATTACTTACAACTGTATCAAATGTTTCCCCTTGTCCACTGTACACCATTATGGTGTAATTCACACGATCTCCATTCGAATCAAAAGCTACATTACCAGTAAGACCTTCGAAAGTGTACTACAAATAAAGTAATCATTAACATTAACATTATATGAAAGTAGCAATAATGAAGTTTCCTACAACTTAAAGGTTTTAAGCATAATCTCATGTTCGCATCGTAACAAATAAAAGTATTTGCACGATGTAAATAACACATTTTACTTTGTACAAGCTAATATTATATTTTTTAAATATTAAATTAATGGAATTATTGTGTATCACTTAAAGCTATAAACTTTATATTTTTCTACTACATCGCGCTCTATTAAGTTGCTATAAAATAGCAACACCACGTGACAACGCAGTAATGGTAAAATATTGAGAGCTTACATATGTCAAGTCTTCATTCCATTCAGCACGAAGCGGTGGATCACTGTTGATGGGACAAGAATTCATCATGGTATCTCCGGGTAAGATGTTTATATCTTCAATATTCCCACCTGCACGCACTCGTTCCCTGTATCTGCGCATGCCATGCGCAATCGCCATCACGGCGTCAAAACTCAGACGTTCGCGCAAAGGCCACTCATAGAGACGCCGATCGTGAGAGCTCGGGTATGAGTACTGCCATTGCGTCGTGTAATTCATTTTGAAACGCGTCATATACGCACGACTTTCTTCCAAATCTTCAAGGAAAACTCGATCTAAGTAGACGTCCTACAAATTAAAGAAATAAAAATAATTAGGCCTGCATTATAGGCCCGCTAATATGAAATGCCCGTAATATAAAAACATTTAAAAATCGTACATATTGACCACGCACTTTATTATCAACCGATAAACAGCTGGTCTCGGTATATGCGTGCACTTGCCTGAACAATGAACTAAAAGAAACCAAAAGAAACTCACTATGTTGCCAACAATCCAGTGATGCTGATCGCTGACTACTCCTTCCTCAAGGCCCTACATCAAAATAAACAAATATTAAACATGTTACCTGTACTTGTAAACTGGGTATTATACGAATGATGGAGCGGGAAAGAGAAACAAGAACGCGCTTACAAAACGACCTGCGGTAAGTTTAAAATGGTTTAATGAATGAAAAGTTGAAAAATTTACACGACTGTACTCCGATCTTTAAACCTTTCAGACAAATAAATGTATTTTATGTTTGCATATTCTGAGAAAGAAAATCGGCGTGTCCGTCAGCGTATCATCAGAGTAGCCATTGTAAACCTTACGAAAGATGATGCATTATATTAAATGTATATCAGCCTGTTTGAAAAATACACATTAATATGCGCACTCTTGCTTTCTATAGCGAATATTTACTTGGAAGCTGCATACAGTATGTTATCGTCTGTACAGTATGTATTGAGATTTATAGTTTTTGGATAACAGTTATTGGTTAGTAAAGATTAACACCTGATAAAGTTAATACTGCTTTATAATAATAATAATAATAATAATAATAATAATAATAATAATAATAATAATAATAATAATAATAATAATAATAATAATAATAATAATAATAATAATGTCGTTATTATATAGCGCTTCACGCACAAAGCCTCTAAGCGATTCACATTACTACCCCGGTCATTGGATCAAACACATAAGGAACACATACTGAATACCAAATTAAATTATATTATTGTTCCATAATAAAAATTATTATTCCATAATAAACTACATGATGATTGTAAAAAAAAATTATGATTGTTTGTTTTACCTTAACACCTAAGCATGTGCATTTAACGAAACTTGTTTAGTCAAAAAAAATTTAGGCACACCGGTTTCTTACCATTTCCATGATTTTACGTGTTGTTTTCTCAGTCGAAGTGTAAAGGAATATGTTGCGAATTTCCTCCTCCCTAATGAAATCCACAATGCGGTTAAAGTTATTATCATACTTTCGTAGAGTGATGTTCCACTTGTAAATGTTTCCGGCACTGATGACGTCTTCCAGGTTTGCGTAAACTAAGGAAAAACACATTTGAAAAAAGATTATCCATACTCGAATTCGAACCAAATACAGTAATGTTTTTAAAATCCCTATTCAGTTGATCTGCCACAAAAACTCAATGCGAAGAAAAGAAATATTAAGCTAAGAAGAATGAAGTAGTAGGCCTATATCTATCATACATATAAAAATTGATCTAGCAACTGCGCGTGCATTATAAATAGGCGCGGGCCTAGAATCCGTACTCATAGAGTTTCACACTGATTAACATTGCACCATAGAGTATAGGCCAGTTTGATTATCATTCGAATTTAAACAAAATCTATTTCGGACTAAAAAAAACTCAATGGTTAACCGATCATTTGTTTATTTTCGGTTCTATATACACCTCTTCAGACAGATATATTTTACTTACTTTGATCGGTATCATAAATGATCATGAAGTTTCTCCAGTTGAAATAGATGAGCATATCAAGAAAGAATTCGCTGATATCAGACGGGGAAGGGTACATCTTGAAAGCCACTGAACCAGACCTCAAGCTACCGGGATCCAAGCTGAACACAGGGCTGGTTGCATGGCTAGCCATTGCAGCAATGTCACCACACATGGGGCACACGTCTTCCGGAAGGATCAATGCAGATACACGTTCTGTTTGCACCATTGTGTTGCAGACTAGATACAAGATCAGATAATAATCATCATATAGAGAAAAGTCATTAGCAACATGGTGTTGTATGTAGGAATAATATTACGGTACCCCACAAACACCACTATACAACTGATAGCGTATCAAATTGAACCGCACCTGATACTATATTTTACTATTTTTTTCCTATTTTTACTATAGTTATATATTTTTACCTTTGTTATATGACATTCATCAAGAACTAGTGCTCAACTACG